GAATTCGAGAACTTCTATGAATTAACGTTGGAATAAGGTATTGAGGATGATAGCAGGAAAGACTATCATCTAGGGAAAGGAAATGCTAATAACGTGTTTTAGTAAGGAGATTGCTTAGGGCAAGACCTTAGGAAGTAACGACAAGACTGACCCCTTCTCACTCACAAGGTGTGCAAAGGGGAAGAGGGCGTAACCAGCACGAGGAGGGTAATCAAGGAGGTCAGCTTCAGCAAGCTTAAAGTTGTCAGAAGGCTTGGGGTAATGAGATAGGACCCCTTTTATCGTAATTACCTTTACTTCATGTCTTATGAGTATACTGGGAAACTCAAGGTTTATGTTTAAGTATTTTGGATTGGGTAGGATTTTCCCAAGCGTAAGTGTTGAAGGATTTTGTTTTGGTATTTCTGAATATTGTCGTTGGGTGGTTTTCGGTTTGACCTTTTAAATGTGATTTGGGTTGCTCAAGAGTAAATGGTTTTTGGTTTAAATTATGGTTTTGGTTTTCGAAAAACATTGCGTTGGTTCATTTTGGTATCAGAGCCTGGTTTTCCTCTGTTCCTTGGTCTCCAAGAAATACTGGAATGACGATCTGAGTTTTCAAGGGTTAATTTTTAAAGAGAAAAAAGGGATTTCAAGAAAAATGGTTGGCCAATCGATTTGAAGTGGTTTAAGTTTCCAGTATACTCAAGCATGATAAGACAAATAAATGTGGTTCTAATAAGGGTACTACTTGCAGAGAAAGTAATGCGCATTTTAATCCCGTGGCGGCTAGGCCACCCCCGGATTACGTGGCTTTCCGGAGGCGAGGAATGGTGGATTTTGATGGAGACCGCTCGACGGACGCCAGTGAGGTGGAGAAGTGGCAGACAAAGGTTACCCACACGCTGACCGAAATGAGGGCGGATGATGAGGATAGGGTACTGCTGATGGTATCCCTACTGCAAGGGTTGGCTTATGATTGATGGTGAACCCAACCAGCGAGCCGCGAGGACCCACTAGCCATCAGTTGGCCAGAGCTGGTGTAGGTATTCCGTGCTCATTTTGTGCCCGAGGCCTACTATCTCGGCAAGCAGAGGGAGTTCATATCGATCAAGCAGATATGGGGCGATGAAGGCAAGGAGGGCATTGTGGAGTATACTTCGCAGTTCGGGAAGTTACTGCTCTATGGAGGATCCCAATTCCAAGAGGTGCCACCCAGCATGTCCACCATCCAGAGAGTTTGGAGTCTGCCCTTAAGAAGCAGTTGAGCATGCTGATGTTGAATAATCGGGAGGAGGTTTATCAGGCGACTCTTCGGATATAGAGGGCAGACGCAACCTTGCATGAGGAAGGGATGCAGCGCGAGGGAAGTAAGAGCAAGGCAAGCGACATGCCAGAGTGGCTCGTCAGTCCAGTTAGACCAGGAGGAGGACGAGTGGTACTGTCAGCTGTAGGGGTGCTCAGAGTTAGACCGGCTCGGTCCGACCTGGTAGGAATTTCAGAAACAAGGGTCCCTATAACCAGTGTGGGTGGGATCATTCAGGGGCTTGTAGGCAGCCCCTCAGGGTCTGCTACTATTGCAATGAGCCAGGCCATTTTGCTAGAGAGTGCCCTAGGAAAGACGGGCAGGAGAGAGCACATTCCGAACAATCCGTTCGGGGCGGAGGAGGAGGAAGAACCAAAACCGGACATCAGTTCAGGAATCAGCCCAATGAATCATACAACAACTATGGAGGACCTTTCAGGGGAGGCATCACCTGCCACACCAATCATGACCAGGGCCAAATGTCAAGAGCTAGTGGACAACCTCGAGTATTTGCCATAGGAAGGATAGAGAGTGACTGTGGAGACGATGGAGGGAATAAGCAAACACAGTGACGTGGTTAAGTGGCACATAGGAGATTATGGGGAATAAATAAATGCTTTTAGCATGGTTCGCTAGTTAGTTGTCTCATTTTGTTTCGTTGTAAACTGCACTTCTAGTTTAGTACTCGGTAATTCAATAATAGTCCTTGTGACTAAGTTAAGTCCCATTGAACCTTACAAGTAAGTTCAGGTAAAAATTTTGAGGATGAAATTTTCTTAAGGGGGGGAGGAAATGTGATACCCTAACTGAGGTAGAGTAATTCTAGCCAAAGGCCGAGTTCACACTTGCAATTTCGGGGACGAAATTGTTTTAAGGGGGGGGGGGGAGGAAATGTAACACCCCAAGTTCGGGTTATGTTCGATTAAGGTTTGACCGAAAGTTTTGGAAGAAGGTTGGGTTTAAGAAAGCTTTGAATAAGGAGGTACATGCTAGAACATGGTGCGAAACACGGTCGTGTTGCTAGACTGTGTTCGGACAGGTGTGCAATTTTGACACAGCAAGAAGTTAATCAGCAAAGGATTGAACACTATCAGTAAACACGCCCGTATCTCTAGACCATCTCCAATTAAATGCTCGTCTTAAGAGTAGGAGTAAGTGGACGAGTCGTTATGAACGAACGAGATCGAAGGCGAAACATAACACGGTCTGGACACGACCGTATTGGTAGGCCGTGTCGATAAAGTTCTTAAAATGTCGAGGATGATTGAAATGAGGCACGACGAATGGAGAGAACACGGGGGAGAACACGGTTGTGTCTCGCGCCCGTGTTTGAACTATTATAAAAGATGTGAATTTTGTACTCTCTCTCCACTCACGTTTTTATCTCTCAAAAACCCACCAAATGCCCGAACAACCAGAATTCGAAGGAAAGGGTGGAGAGGAGCAAGGAGGAAGGAGGAGGAAGAAACCTCCAGATTATTCCTCGTTCTCCGAAAAGCCGAGATACCAACGAAAATCTCTCCAACTCGTCGTTCCTCTCGACTTCTAATCTTTCATACGTCTTAGGAATGGATCTTTTGGAGGATTTGGACAAGTTTATTCAAGGAGCTTTCCTTCTAATCTATTCCTTGGGGTCTAGGCACGCTCTGGAGGGTATCGAGATAGTATGTTGAGGAAGGATTTCTTCGGGCTAAGGGTCGGAGAATTGTCTTTTCAAGGTGAGTGTAAATGGGGTAAAATCTCTGTCGAGGACTTTTAGTTTATATCTTTTACTTCAAGTTATGCTAGTTACTTTATGAGTTTGCGCGATTATGTGTGTGAGGCATCCCACCGCCTACATAAGGTGGAAGCACCCATTGTGCTATGTATGTGATGTATGTAAGATGAACCACCGGGCGGTTTGGACACTACTGGACGCAGTAGATGGTCGGATCATTGCTGGACGGCGATACGTAATGCAACAGTTGATCGGGTATGGTACTGGACGGCGAGACGTAACGCAGACCATTGCCGAGTTGGGTATGCAAACGGACGGCGAGGCGTAACGCGATGGACTCTAGTGTCTGTGTATGAGTTAAGGATAGAAGTTGAGAACTTCTATGAGTTAACGTTGGAATAAGGTATTGAGGATGATAGTGAGAACGACGCTCATCTAAGGAATGGAAATGCTAATAACAAGTATTAGTAAGGAGATTGCTTAGGGCAAGACCTTAGGAAGTAACAACGAGACCGACCCCTTCTCACTCACCAGGTGTGGAAAGGGGAAGAGGGCGTAACTAGCACGATACGGTAATCAAGGAGGTCAGTCGCTGCAGACTTGAAGATGTCAGAAGGCTCGTGGTAATGAGATATGACCATTTTATCGTAATTGTCTTTACTTCATGTCTTATGAGTATAATGGGAAACTCAAGGTTTATGTTTACGTATTTGGGATTGGGATTTTCTCAAGTGTTGAGGGCTTTTGTTTTGGGATTTCTGAATATTGTCGTTGAGTGGTTTGCGGTTTGACCTTTTAAATGTGATTTGGATTGCTCTGGAGTAGCCGATTTTTGGTTTAATTATGGTTTGGTTTTCGAAGAACATCGGGTTGTTTCATGGTTAAACTCATTTTAAATCTAAAAGAATGTGAAGTGAATTGAAAATTGAAGGGGTTAAATGTAACTAATTGAAAGTTGGATGGTTTAAATGGCAACCAAGTTTTCGTTTTGTAGCAAAGTAGTGAGTTCAAGAGAGGATTACAATACAACCCGTGTTGGATCATAAACTTGAAGGATATGTTTAATACTTTTTTGAATCAATCCAACCGTTGGGATGGTAGTTATTATTTCTGGTTTGCCGAGAAATGTTGTTAGTCGGACAGGGTGCAACCCTGTTTTCCTATAGCTGGGCAGTTGGTTCTAGGGAATATTCCACAGAAACCAACCGTTGGATCGTCATCAAAATTTGAGGAGATATTTAAGACTCATTGTAGGTTGATTTGACCGTAGGGATCGATGTACTAATGGCTGGTTTGTTGGCAGGAAGTGTATGAAATTAATTGGAATTCCTTCAACCAGAAACGTACAAAAACGGATCAGAAACGCGTTTGTGAACATTTTTTACCACTTTTTTTAACTTTGTTACTCACAATACGTTTTTATATAGAAATCGAAACGTTTTGCCCAGTTAGAAATGAAAAAATTTGCGTTTTTTTCTTCATTTTAAGACTTGTTTTTTACTACATTGGTAATAGATATCTCAATCTTTTTTGTTCCAAAATATATCAAAATGGATGTCATTAAAGAACACAATTAATTTGCTTTTCTGTCAAAAATTAAATTATGGCTTAAAATGAAAGAGAAATAACTTGTTAAAATTAATTGTGAAAAGTTAGAGGTCTCGAATAAATAGTAAGTGTAGAGTTATACATCTGTATTCGCTCGAAAAATGTGTACTTATTTAGTATTTACAGAGAATTTTAAGCTAATTAAGGGAGAGAGAGGAAATCTTCACTCTTCAATGGCAAAAAAATCTAAAAGGGGAAAGAAGACAATCATAGATGGAAGTTGCCAGCTAAAATACTAATTAGGAAAAACATTAATTTTTTTGAAAGGAGAAAACACAATAAAATGCTAATAAGGAAATAATTTAATTTCCTTGTCTGCATTGCCTCGTGTCACAAAGGAAAAAGAAAGAAGCCCATGCATATAAATGCTTAATTCTGTCAAAGGATTGCCTCCAAGAAACAAGAAAAACAGACAATATTATTATAGTTGTCGCAAACACCAAACCATTTACTGCGTATAACGTTAATGATGGTGGCAGTAGAGGTAATGACAGGAAGCCTTTTCCATGTTAATGTCGAAGAAGATAATGCCAAAGTTGCCGACCTCAAACGTGCAATCGCAGCCCAGCAGAAGCTGCCCTTTGATCGTATGATCTTGCTGCTTGGAGATGGTTGTTGTATATCAGACGATGATGACGATTTAACTCTAGATGAATGTGGGATTCATGATAATGGCTCCCGCATTTACCTCTTCTTCACGCCAATAGATGATGGCTCCTCCGATGACTTTATTTTCACCTGGTCGGAGGTCTTTTAGCTTGCTAGCTATAGCCTATTTTGTTGTTGTTGGTAAGCTATCTAGCCTTTGGGGTTTTCGGTCATTAAAATTAAAAGAATGGTTAAAATTGAAGTTGTAAATTACTAATTCATAATCTAAGAGCAGCAACTAATCATGACTCATATGATTATTTTTATTGGCTTTCGCAATGAAAATTTTGACTTCGAACAATAAAACTATGGTCATCTAAATTTTTTCCAAATACTAATGATAATAATCACCACAGAGTATTTTCTAACTAATATAATGTTCACTAATCATCGGCAAGAACTTACTAATAACCTCCATCAGCCCTTTTAATGTTTGTTAATCATCACTAATGAACTTGATTATAACCTCCCTGACTGAAACATGCCTTGTTGACGAATCCAGCTTAACCAAAACGGAAACAAGTAATCAAATCGAAGCAAACACACACAACAATGCGTGATATTCCCAAGAATCAAGATTAGGGACTAGTCTGCATGAGATTTTTAACTCTCCGGTCTAAATATCAGTATCCCCAATTGATGATCACCTATAACTTATACGAGACGTATTTATATGTACACCCCATGCTACCCTAACCACCATACAAACCTAACAACATTCACCTAGTATCATGAGTTGTGGGAATAAGAAATAAGGTTCACACCAACAAAGCGGAATTCCACCAAAACAAAATAAATCCGGTCTATCCAACAAGACAAAAGTCCAAAAAACAAAATTCCATACAAAAGACTGGCTCATCATATGCCAATAGTTTCCCCCAAATTAATGTCACTCGCTATGCATCAATTTGCTAGGCATATACCAATGATGACTATAAGTGAAATCTTCGGTAAGAAGATCACTAGATGGTCTTCAATCTCCAAATAGTGCAAGATCACAGTCTCATCACGAACAAAAGCACATATATAGTGGATATAAATCTCAATGTTCTTCGTTTGATCATGCAAAACTAGATTCACTGCAATTTGGATAGTGTTAGTGTTATTCACAAAAAAGAGGCATAAAAATCACATCAAATAAAAAATTAGCAAGTAAGCGATGAAGCCAAACAAGTTCGGATCCAACCTCTGACATAGCACGATACTATGCCTAAATGGACGACAGAGAAAGCTTGTCTTGCTTCTTACAATGCTGTGAGTTAAAGGCCTCCATGAAATGCGCACACTAACCGCTGGTAGAGCGACATGTATCTACATAGCTTGCATAATTGACTCGCTAAAATATAATACCAAACTACGACCAAGTATAATCGCAGAATGGAAATGCAGAATAGTGGGTTCAGGTTAGTTATCAACCCGGGTCCTAGATTTACTGCCTACTCCATGAACTTCTATTATCAAGCGGTAAAAGTTGAGTGAAAGTGAATTTTAACCAAATCAAAAAGAAACCAGCAAATTGTTTGATTTTCTAAAGCACGAGAAGAGTCACTCGGGAATGAGTCTCCCTAGCTCCTCAATTAGGTCCAAGTTGTAATTCCTTTTGGTTGTTTTTACTGTATATTATAATGCGAAAGATCCAAAAATAGCTTGGAATCTCTTAAACTGTCCAAGTCCTCTTAGACAGAATGCCGGGCAGGCGACTAGCCTTCACAGGGATAGACTGCTGAGGCGATTCACACAGATCTCCTTTACATGGAACAAATTCCAGTACAAAGCAATGAATTGACTGACTCGCATACAATCAATTCACTTCTATCAATTGAAGAAGCTCTATCAACTTAATCAGATTCTATCTATCATAGGTTGGAGAAGAAGTCAAGAGAACTTGATCAAGATTCAAAATGACTCAATAAATATGCCTCAATCAATTAAAATCATCCAGTATAATATCCAAAAGTCATTACAAACAAGATCCCTAACACATGGAAATAGGGTTCTTCATACCCAAGTGAGAGAGATGATTACTCCATAGAGAGAGAGAGAGAGAGGGAGAAACATAAATAAAAGCAGTCATACTCGTAATGATGTGTATAATATGCTCTAGGATGTCAATCTTCGCTCCTGGAGAGGCAATCTGGGCTTCAATCGTGAGAAATTCACTCCAAAAAGATCCTAGCATTTGTTCTTACTTTCTCTCTCTAGAACTCTGTTATGCTCCAAAAAGTGGAATCCCCTTCCATTAGCTCGAATCTACCTATTTACCCAGATACTGGGCAAAATATGGGCAAGAGCACAGTCGTGCTTCCTCTTCTGGCCGTGCTTTGACTAGATCACGCATTTTACTTAAGTTGGGACGGGGAAATCCACGGTCGCGTTTGGGTAAAATAATGACATTATTTTGAGAAGCACCTGCGGTGCTTGGGTCTTCGCCTGCCCATGCTTTGCTTTCCTTCAACATTCTTCCTGAGCTAGCCTCGTCATTAAAAGCATGTTCGAGTCGTTGGTGAAATACGGTTGTGGTTTAGGAAATCATGCCCCTATTTTGCACCAGGATCATCACCACGCCCGACAAAATAAACACCACCGGCTATCATGTGAAGCATGGTCGTGCTTGAGGCAGGGGACGACAGTGTTTTATCTCTAGAACTGCCAAATGATCTCCAAACGACCCGAAACTTGTGCCTAAACCTTCTTCTATCTGCTAGTACCTGAAATGTGACAAAATAGCACAACCCAGTGTAAAATAGGCCAAGAAGCTACAAATTCGAGCCAAAACGGTTAAGAAACAAGGGTGCAAACATGTGCAAACACAACACTATAAAATTCCCCCCACTTAACTATTTTCTTGTTCCCAAGCAAACCAAGTCAGATACAAGGTAAGCTGAAATCGTTATAGTCATGCAAACTTGGGGACTTATCATATAGGCAAAAAACACGTGAATCGTACTTGCCTTTAGACATCAACACATGAACAAAAACAATAACAACCTAAACAAACACCATAGATGACATTCGAGTGCAGCAAAATAATGTAAAGTAAGAGTCTCCCTTCCATTCACCGACCAATATAGACTTGACTCAACCACTCACTAAAAGCAGTCACCTTATGCATCAAATTCAAGACATCAGAATCAAGATCGAACAATCTAGGTCCTCACCAGGGGTATATAATATGAAAATTGAATCACTCACTCTCGACCAGTGGGATGAGGACAAAATTTGATGCAAGATGTGTGCATACTCGTACTCTCAATCCCGAACGTCTCTTCACCATGGCGGTAGCCTCTAAATGCTAGAGTTCACATATAAGGTGTCACCACTAACTTGTCCGGAGGTCTTAGACACAGGTTCTGATGACTGGCTAGGGTCTTGGACATGGGGAAAAGGCTTTTTAGGTGGTGGAAGAATTCATGACACAAGGTTCCACAGTTCCAAAACCATCACAACAACATTCATTCAAACCATTTACTTTCTCTCTGCTATTCTGCATTAATAAAGTTCTTTAGAGCACAAGAGTGAAAGAGTCACAACATGTTAGTATTTCCAAGCCAGGCTGCTAAGAAACACTATTTAATGAGCATGATTCAGATTATTGTGGTGGCTCTCTTTTGCTTTCATTTATTTTTGTTTTGAATTTTTTTAGAGAACTACCACTTTTGATACATTCTTTTTATCCTTGCACGTACATGCCCAACCTTTAGGAATTGCCTCCAACCCTCACTTTAGTTCTAGCAAAAAATAGCAGAAAACATGCAAAAACCACTCCGTGGAACCTCTAATAGATGCATAAGGGTGATTTTTCTTGTAGACACAAATAAAGAAAGTTACACTGCTCAAAGGGACTGACTAGGGGGTATGACACACCAGGACAATCAATTTGGTCGTGGGTTAATCCTATGCTTCCATCATCATAATAAGTGCAACGTGAATGCTACACATCATGGAAGAGGGATCTATCGCACAAGAAAAAAAACGAGCAGACTCAAATCTCACATGGCTACCTATATGCTCTATCTCTCATTCTGATTCCCTAAACTAGATGCATAAACAACTGTAGAAAATGAGTGATCAATCCAAGTAGCAGTTGGTAAGCAAACATTTGAAAAACTGAACCCCTACACAACTCTACTACACGTCAAAGTCATCATTATAGGTTAGTGTGAGTTGTTATGCATTAGGAGACCTCGAGGAATACAACCCTAGAACTTCCTAGGATTTTATCACCTGATTTCACAATGGGGGCGGTGTAGGGAACTGATTCTGGAAGCCTTTGCTAGCTGATGCTAATAATGTTGGGTGTGATGATACTTCGAGGCCAACCTTAGATGGTGTGTGTAGTTCAGTAACTCATCTGTATCATGGTGGTGTAAGAAGCATGATATAAATTTGAAATGGTCTACCAAAGCAGAGTATCATTTTATGGTAAAAGCAAGCTTAGAACTTGTTTGGTTAAAACGACGCTTGGGAGTGTTCACCATATTCATAAGCTGACGAAAATAGCGAACATGAGTCTCACATGTTTATTTTAGTCATGCAACATTGGATTCCTGACAGTCTCTGTGACATTAGAGATTGTCGGGAATTCAATATTCCATGATTAAAATAAACACATGAGACTCATGTTCATCGTATTATGGCAGAAGGGACAATTGAATTTGCCTATTTTTCAATAAACTATCAACTTCCGAATTTGTTGATGAACGCATGTTAGAACGAATCATGATTAATTTTTAAATAACAAGCATCATCAATCTGAAGGACGAAGTTAGAATTTTACTTATGCTTAGTATGGGTTGTTATCTGTAATTTATCTTATGATGTTATGTTTTCATACTAACATGTGCATCGGTGATTGTTCTAGCAAACTAGTATATGTATTTATGTCGTATTGTAATACGAAAGTAATTAAGGAGAAAGGTTACGAATAAGTGTGACTCGGATAATATTATCTCTTTAGTGGATTATTTCGAATTTTCAGAGTACTTGGTGAAATCATTGGTGTTTGTATTTTTTAATTTATTATAGTTATAGACCGTTTAAAAAATGAAATTATATTTTTTGGTTTGAAACACATAACTAAATACATCGAAAATGATTCGACCCAAACTACTAAACTTGATTCCAGACTAACATGAATTAGGTATGAGTACTCGTGAGATACGCGCCCCGACTTCATGCCATGGCCATCCCTAATCCCATAATTGTTGGATGCCGAACATAATTTATACTAGGGTTAACTTGAGGTCCAATATTTCTTGGGCTTAGCCTAGTTAACTGCGGTATGCCCCAGGCGTCAC